ACCTGTGCTGATTTTGTGCATTAAGTTTTTAAGACTTGGTCAACGATACATCATCAATCTTGCGTAATATGATACACAATTAAACATCTCAAGACAATGTAATGAAGTCTCAAAAAATTAATGTAATTGTTTATATAAACAGTTAAAAGTAACAAGTACATTGTCATTCAAAACGAATTTTTAAGCATAAGAGACAATATTTCCATTTATTACAACTTGTGATTGCACATTGCACTATCACTCTATAACAATGCTTTCTCTTCCAGTTGGCTGCACCTACTTTGTGACCTTTCTGATCTCTCGATATCTAAACAACAATGAAACTATATCCAATAGTGCTCTACCCGCATCGAACTTCATGGACATGGATCATATGTCATCATATAGCATGTACTCCGCAATATTTGACCACGTATATGCCGCAATCATGTTTGGGAAACAAGAATCAGTCTATTAGGTATGAAATCTAGCATGTAATAGCATGGTTAACTATAAGTGGAGGTAACAAACATACCCATTTTTCTGTTGGAGAAGGGAGAAATCAAGATCCACCTTCAACTCCATTGAATCTTTTTTCCATATTCCAACACATTTCATGAGGCGCGGAAGCATGCTGACAAAAGGTTCAATTCCAATATGAACCTTGACATCATTATATGTCTTCCTGGCCGAATTCAATACACGTAACGTATGCTTCTTTATGCCCAACACTATAAGCATCCAATGTGCTTTGTTGTTAGGCAGAAGTGGAATAAACACGAGGTTCACTTTAGCCCATTGAGTACTCAATGGAATTCGTGCACATGTAATGTCATTAATTAATCTCTCATCTGTTACAACAACATTTGCATTATCCTTGAACTCGGGATACATGTGCTTGCGCTTGGCCTGAAACAACGAGTTAGTTGTGGTAACAATAAACTTGAGATTTTTCCCATTTCTTGCCACTTGACATATGTAGTAGAAGTACACGTCCATATACTACCAAAATGCAAGTACAATAAACAATTAGAAAACCATATAAACACCACGAATATAATGCGTTGAACTGTTACTATGATCTGTAACCTAGTTAGTATGTGTGACCAACATAACCTGTAGTTCGTAACCACTGAATATCTACTCTGTAAACGTATTAAATATACGTGACATGTACTGTTGCCACTGTAGATATGTGTTTTTCGTATGACACATATTGTGATTTACTGTTCGTGTGACCTGTGACTCATGCATGATTTGTGACTTGCTGCACGAGTGGTATGTTACATAATACAGGTGTAACCTATGACTTTTATGGAATAACATGTAGAATACTGTACGTGTGAGAACTTAGTGCGACTATTATGCAGTGATCTATGACTCATGTGATCTATAATATGACATGTCCTTTAGATATGTGACTTGTAAGTAGTAATGTATCGAACTACTCAACAACACTTTCCTGGATACAAGTTCATACCACCTTGTCTTATTTCCTACCAAGTACTGATCGATAGAAAAATGTGGAGAGATAGCATTATCTTTATTGTTGAACTTCTTCCTGCAAACGAAAAGAAACGGATCATTATTTGGAAAAGTATGAAAATAGGACAACCATTTTGTACTTATTATGCGGTTTGTATCCTCTTTGAAATCAATTCTGAAAGTTCGTGACATCTGCATCATTTGCATGCTGATTGTAGTGTTCGAAAACCACTACATTTTCTGACGATTTCATTTGTTTCACTTCGTCAAAAACATAAGGAGATTGAAGAGCTTTAATTGGCTTTGGAACCCTCTTCACCGGCAATTCAGAACTTGATGTGGCCTCAGGTGATTGCTACATAATAAATGTGTATTTTAATATGTGACACACACTACTTAACAAATACGATAGTATTTTTTTATACCTCTTGTTTAGTAGATTCCGTCTCATTCAATACATTGGATATGATCGAGTCCACATGTACTTGAACTTCTTTAGATATCATTGCCTACAACCGGCTTGGTTGCGTAAATCCAAGACCGAGATCGAAAGATGGATGTTCAAGGGAACATGGGAATTCAACCGTATCCATCGAGTCAATCTTGCATTTGCTTTTTGAATCAACACTTTTTTTGACATTTGTAGCCTGAAAAGCAGCACAAAAAAATGCATTTTAGCAAACAAGTAAGAAGCAGTCACAGATGTCATATGGTACGTCTGTTGGTTGTGGTCCTGATTTCTCTTTGAATTTGTTCATAATTTCTTCGATTGAACTAGATATCAATGCGGTCATAGAATTGGACATTCTTGCATTTGCAATTTGATGTCCAACATGTCCCTATGGATTTCACCTTGCATGTGAACAACAAGGTTTAGTTTCTTTTGCTGATCAGACTTCAAAGATGACATCTGTGACTGCATCGCCTGAAGCTGCCTTTCAAGTAATTGATTTTTGAACTGGAGATCAAATATTTGTATTTTGAAATAATTCATCGATTCCCCGACCATCTGCATCACATGAATACCTATAATCAAGTAACTGATGATGGTAAAATGTGAAATAGAACAGTCATCTGTGACCAACAGTGAAATGTTTATTGATGTCTAACCTGAAAATATTTCTATGACCTATAATGAATAACTGTGTGAACAACATATCATGACACTAAATGGACTTGTCACATGATAGATTAAACTGTAACAACTTATATTATTTGACGGCTAACCCTCTGAATCAGGTGTATGCAGATCAGTCGTGTCGGCTAACTTACGCTCCCCACTTGGCAAATTTCCGTCGACTGATGTTCCCTTTCATCTGGGTGGTGGGTCAACAAAGTTGTCATTGTCAATGTGCACATTGGAGTGTCCCAGTCTTCCATCAGTTATCAAAAGCATAGGAGTATATTGTTTTATCTCTGAAGCACTTGGCTTTATATTGGTCCCAGCATAATGAACTGATCGGTCTGTGCTACCACCCTTTCTCTTCACCCCACATTACCGATCAAGTTGGACAAGTTTTTCATACCACACCTCTATCATGTATGGTATTGCTATTTCAGCTTCTGGTGGTTCTAAGTCACATATTTTCAACTGTCATTCAGATCACAACAAAATTTTAATGTCAATAAAACAAAAATATAGGAACGATCGGATATAATTTTGCACGTCAAGCAGTTATATTGACATGTATTTTGATATAACAACGTCAAGCGTGTTGTAAAAATGCTTGTGACATGTATCGAATTTCTGTAATAGACCGAATAGCATCTATGACTTCATAAATTTGATTTGCGACTTGACGAAATTAATTTGTGACCGAATTAATATGATCTGAAACATGTAAATATGTGCAACTCCACATATTTGACAAATAATAATGCTGCAACAGTTACCACTTACATCCAAATTGGAAAAGCATTCAAGCTCCTCGAGCTTAGCAGTCGATGGGTCGTTGTCAGCCGTCTAATTCCTAATTCAGGGGTACACTTTGAATGTTCTTCTAGCTATGTATCAATTGAGACTTGGAATAGTCTAGTAAATCCACACTTGAAACGCTACAAGCAAGCCTCTGAGCTTCTAGTGAGTTGTTCTCTTACTCAATCCCTCCCTCAATAAAGTTACCAACGTGTCAAACAATGACTTATCCCCTGGGAACAAATTCATAGCATTCAACTAGCACGAACAAAAAGTGATCCACTGCCTTCTTTTAATCTCTCGGATATAGATGTGATATGAAATACAATGCACTTAGCATAGAAACATCTGCATCAAGAATATGAGTTGCACCAGGGAATGCTTCCTTGACGTCTTCATGAGTCACATTTTTCAACGTTGAGAAATATGCATTTTTCAAAAGTGAAGAGGTGTTCTCCATCCTACTTGTATCGGCTTCGCCAACGTATCCCAGCCCAGTCACTAAACAAAACTCCGAAATTGAGAATGTTACAAATTGTCCGGTTATGTTAAACCACAACTCACTCTCATTAGGTTGTTGCACCTACCTCAATAGAAAGTAGTGTATTAGCTGGTATTGCACAACGATTTCGTCGCATTCCAGGAAGTGGGAAAAACACGTTTTAAACATTATTCAATGTTGGGCTTCATTTATATTGTTTTTGAAATTTTTCAACATGCCCTTCATTGGGGTAATTGTGATTTTTCCTGGAAACCAACTCTTCTCTGATATGGTAAATCTTCGAGCTTGCAAATTAATTGGTCACAAAAAATGCAACATTTGGTCACAGATGGAATTCAGTTAAAAACAACAGTGATATGTGACACAAGTCCCCTTTCCACATATAAGAACTTATCAGCACACTTAGGAAACAACACAATCCCCCTTATATAAGTCACAAATGAACAACAAAATTTCAATACAACGGGAGAATCCCTTTTTAGAATTTGGCATTTCGATTACAATTACAACTACAAATTCAACGCAACATCTCTCACAAAATTCAAAATAATTCTTCCATACATGTTACTCATCCATTAAAATGTTCAAATGTGTGCTCGAAAATAAGTGAAAAATTAAAAAATAGAAAACACACCTTCTTCACGGGCGGAGTTGTGGACGGGCGTGTGGATTTGTGTCTTTTGGAAGAGTAATCTATTTGCACTTCATCAAACTTACATTTACCTCTTGTGTTTGAATCATGGCTTCCAACCTTCTCCCCTCGGTTAACACTCCTTGAACGACGAACTATATTTAATGGAAGTCGATTCAATCGTGGCCGATGACCAGCGCGAGTTCGCCATGGAACTGATAGGGATGAATGGCAGTACATGGCTTGATTGTCCAACGGGGATGGATGTAATAGAAAGAACGTGGGGGAGTTTATGGAAAGAACGTGTAGGGAAGTTCTCCAAAATATTGAGTTACCAAAATTTGAAAAACGTGAAATTGGGAAATAGTTACGTTATGTTTTTTAAATAAATAATATTTAAAAAAATATTTATGATTTATGAAATATAAAACTTCCAACCTGATTTGAGTATTTTGAATAATTAAACTATGATTTTGTGTAATTTGCACTTCGGGAAATTTCAAAGTTCAAACTTCAAAATCATAAGGTACAACAGCTTCACCAGATGCCGCAGAGTACCTTTCTGACATTCTTTTGCGTCTGTACCAAAATTCAGCTACAATCAGACCTCGATTTCTAGAATCAAATCGCTAGCAATAACGAAACTGTTCTTCTTACGGCAGAAGCTTTCATAATCCAGCCATGAAGCAGTTGCACAAGCCAGCCAGTACAAGAAGAGATGAAGAAATCCCTATGTCCCAGAACCCACCTTACTCTCCCAAAGCATTGAAACACCCCAGATCACTTCCCAGATCTCTCAATTATCTGCTCAAAGAACAGAGACTTCTTTTCATTCTTGTGGGCATTCTTATTGGCTCCACTTTCTTTATCATCCAACCTTCCCTTTCCTACCTCTGGTCGGCTTCTTCCGGGCCCAGAATTCCCAGATCCCACAGTTTTTCTGGGAATGGTGAATCGGTTAGCCTTTATGATCGCACGGGGGTGGTGGGATATGATGAGAATTATAGGAGTAAGTACCATAATGGGGTGGGGAGAGTGCCGGTGGGAATAAGAAGCAAGAGGAAGAGGATTGTAGTTACTGGAGGGGCTGGGTTTGTGGGCAGTCATTTGGTGGATAAGCTGATCGCTCGAGGTGATGATGTGATTGTGATTGACAATTTTTTCACTGGGAGGAAGGAGAATGTAGTTCATTTGTCTGGAAACCCAAGATTCGAGCTGATTAGGCACGATGTTGTTGAGCCAATTCTGTTGGAGGTGGATCAGATCTACCACTTGGCTTGTCCTGCATCTCCCGTACATTACAAGTATAATCCTGTCAAGACTATCATATCCTTATTACAGTTGTTATTAATTACTAAAGTGAATGAATTTTTATTTTGAGAAAATGTAGTATTGTTTGATCTGTGTGTGCGCGCATGTGCATTAGCAAAGTAGCCGAATGAATGGCTTTGCCTGTTTGAATGACTGGGGATGGTCAAAAGTGAGTTGCTTTAATTGTCATCTATGCCAATGTCGATCATAGCATATTATGTGAGATGTTCGAGTGATGTGTTCTCTCCAAGTCCAAGCACAAACTTGCAGATGCAGATTACTATATTTGCTATATACACAAAGAGTGCATTTGAGTCTTCAAATAAATATGATTTTTATGCGATTATATCTGATAAATGGGCTTGCACAAGTGCAATTTCCAGTGAAGATTGCTGATTTTGAGTGTGTTAAAACTGGGAAGTAATTTAGATAAAATTACTCGAGATTTATATTGTACCTCGATTTGTTTTTGTTGGATAGTTTGTTTATTGAGATCCTTAACACATAATTACAAGACAAATGTGATGGGGACCCTTAATATGTTGGGTCTCGCAAAGAGAATTGGAGCAAGGTTCCTTCTCACTAGTACAAGTGAGGTTTATGGTGACCCACTTGAGCATCCACAGAAGGAGACATATTGGGGACATGTGAATCCGATAGGTGGGCGCCATCTTTCTTTTATTTGATATGTTGTTTTGTTATGCTATTTGGTATGAAGTTTATTATTGAGTTCTTTCCAATAATCAGGTGTACGGAGTTGCTATGATGAAGGAAAACGAACTGCTGAAACCTTAACTATGGATTATCATCGTGGAGCTGGTGTTGAGGTAATACACCTGCATTGCAGTGATAGTTGTTGAAATCTAAGCTTGGTATATTGATGATTTGGTTCTCAAAAAGAGTACAATGTGATTAATCTTATTTGCTTTACCTACTTTAATAATACATTGGTTGGAACAAGCATTCATTTGTTCAAGTTCATCATTCATTTAGAAAACTGCATTAGTGTTATCATTTACTTTTTGCAAATGATTGTTGTATTTATTCAGTAGTATTTAACCTTTCTGACTACCTTTGATACCTTATTAAGGTGTCTGGAATGTTTCTTCACCTTTGACAAAAAACTAAACTCTACAATGTGCTTTGCACATGATCTATCATGTATCATATCTGCAAGCTGTGTCTGTGATGATGTTAGGTTTTATATGCCACGAAATTGGCATCTAGTGTAGGCGAGAATTTTTCAGCACTTCTGATTAAATTCAAACACATTATTGCATCCGGCTTGGCAAATGTTTCCTGGTACATTTGATCAAGTCCAATTAGATTTTTCAGCCTCGTACATATAGTATTCTTAGGAAGGGTTTTAACCATTTTATTTACATCAAAGACCCCATAAGTTTCTGCCTACGAATGATATCATATCAAGTAGCCGGTTAATGAATTGTTAATTTTTTTGTTGTGACTTTAATTTGATACATGTTGCTACCTTATAAATTTCATGCTTCTTAAGAAGCAATTGATTCCTTTTTGAAACACCTCACATCAACGTCTGTGAAGATTTAGGAAAAACCATGAAAACTATTTACTTCTACTATGAATCTAGATAAAGATTCAAATTGAACTGGCAATGATATGGCTACAATTAAGTTTACTATATTGTCTAAGGCATGAAAGAGAAGAAGATTCTCCGTCTTGGACATGTAATGATTTCACTTTGAAGGTAGCTTTCATCTTTATAAATGCAAATGGTTTTCAAGTACATTTATTGCTTATTTGAAGAGCAGCAATATAATTAATGTGCTTGAGATTCCTAGATTAGAATTTTTTATATTATTTATACCAAGGTGAGCTAGGAAGCACGTCTTACAGGCTTATGATCTTGATAAAATTTTCTATCACGAAAATGGAAGGAAATTTCATGTCATTATTTGTTTGAAGTGAAGTCTCATTATATTATGTTGAGTTACAGAGGAGCTGCTATATTTTTGGTGTTCTCTTTCTATAAATGACAGAAAACAGATAAATTCCATAAATGAAGATACCATTCAAGCTAATTACATTTTTTATTACTTTATTGTTATCATCATCAAAATGTATATATTGTGTTATGTGTGTGTTTGGGTTAATGTCCTTATAAGGATTATAACGAGAGTAATAGGTCCCATGAAATATGTGGTAAAATGTTGGTAATAGTTGTGAATGTGCGGTTAAAGTTAAAGTTAGACATTGATTAGAAATTATATGTAACTTATATTGTTTCCTAAACATAGTCATCACTTGGCCTTCTCTTGGTCTAGTTCAGATCGTATGTATATCAATATTGTCTAATTCTGGATTGAGTTTATGTTGTCAACTTGCTGGATTTTGTGCTTTATTCTGCCTTTGCCTTAGAATTTGGAGACCAACACATTAATAGAATTATGTGGAAAATAAACTTTACACCCTCAAACTATTGTTCTGTTACACCAATAGCCTTTCTATTCTGATTTATCAAACTATTCCTCTACCTTTGAGAAATGCCAAATTTTCAAACCCGACTCCAAACCTTATTTCATTCTTTTCTCAACAATGAATTGGGTCAGCACAACAAAGGCCCATTGGAATTTTCAATTCACACCTTCCCCATGTTAAATAGTCACCACCACTGAACGCTAAAAGCCAATCATTAGAAACCATAGATTTTATATGGGGAGAAAGTAGTTAAAGTGTATATACGACAAAATTGAGAAACCATGGATTTTAGCTGCTTGGTTATGGCGCCCTACTTTTGAGAGAAAAAGTGTTTTACTCTCTCCTCTCAAGTTTTGGTAGGAAAAAATGCTAATGACATCATTTTTCAGCTCTCTATAGCACGGACACTTCAATTGGAACAACGTGTCTGTGTCCGACACTTGTCGATACTGACACTTCTTGGACACTTTACCATAAACATTTTTCATTGTTTATTAAAAATATCATATATTTTTAACTCAAACTTATTAGTAAATAACAAATAGGTACTTATATTTAAAAGATTTCAACAAAAAAATTTAATAACAAGTGTAAAACTAAATTTATACTATATAAATGATGATTTTTAAAGATTTCAATCAACGTGTCGGCGATGTGTCGTGTCGGTACTTTTTTTAAAAATCACGTGTCGACGTATCCGACATGTATCGTGTCGGACACACGTGTCCATGTCTGTGCATCATAGGTTCAGCTAAAATGGAGTGTCTAAGCTGGTTCAAGAGGATGATCAACCACACTAAGACTGAGACTCAAACATGGCCTAAACTCCTACAGGAGGCAGCAAAGAGGAATTTCCCGCAATGGGCGTGGAGGTAGAAGGCCCATGGGTCATGAATTTATTTTCTAGAGAAGAGGCAATGACGGTATCTGGGGAATAAATATCAGCTAACTCCACAAATATAAAGTTGGAATATCCAGGAAAGTATGTTCTGCATGACAAGCAGACTTTGTTTCACTATTTTGTCTGACTAAGTTGAGAGTTTGAGGAATTTGGGATTATTAATTATGGACAATAGTATAACAGCTCAGGATTCTGGGGAAGTACAGGATAATCTAGTTACTCATTTTATAGCTTCTCCACGAGCCAAAGATTACCTATGATTGAGATTTGTCCTTGTAGAACGAAATTGCTTGTCCCCTCTACTTGGCAAATCGCATCCCAAGTTGGATTTAAGAACTGCCATAATTAATCATGCTCCTCTTACTCTGCAGGTGCGCATTGCACGTATATTTAATACGTATGGGCCTCGTATGTGTCTTGATGATGGACGTGTTGTCAGCAACTTTGTTTCACAGGTTTGTCCTCTCTGTTGCTGTACCCTTATGGTTTGATAAAGATGCCATCTACTATGAGATTACCTTTCTAAGGATTTTTACATTCACCAGAGTTCTTATTCTAAAAGCCGTTGTATTCTGCAGGCCATACGCAAGCACCCAATGACAGTTTATGGGGACGGGAAGCAAACCCGAAGCTTTCAATACGTGTCTGACTTGGTATGTAGTATTATATGCTGTCAACCTGCTTGCTCGTACTGCCTCATTTATTCATGTACTCTACTCTATATAAACCATGCAAATTTCCCCAGCTTTGACTAGGAAATTCTTGCTATTGAAAGACCGTCGACCTCTTTTAATTGTCATGACTATCAGTTAGTTGAGTATCGTTGCACATTCAAGTCCAATTGTTCTATCAAAGAAATTTCTGAGTTATTACAGTAGCAAATTTTTAAGGCAGTCAAAACCTAGAAGGCTTTACATTCTGGAGGGATCTATGGGTGGAAGTTGTGCATGTTGGCGAAGCTTAAATAATTACAAGTAAATAATAATGTTTCCGAATAAATAATTGTTTTTCTAGGTCAAAGTTGGAAATAAAATATTATTTTGAAAGTAACCGTCACTTTCTTGTCAAAGTTATAAGAAAAAGATTACGTATTCAAATATGTTAAGAGAGCTTGAATTACTTTTAAGGTTAGCCAAACATGCTCAAGACTTCCAATTCATCTTCAATACCTGAAGAAAATTTCTAGTACTCCCAGGATATGGAACTTAGTGCTCCTGTCACTATTGAATTGACATGTATATTACTTATCAATGTATTATTTCCAAATATTTGCCATCAAGTGCACAAGAGATTAATGCAAGCATGAGTAGAACATGCCTTATGATGATTTGTAACTAAGATTCAATCTGAAACATACATACTATATAAGATCCACAACAAACAAAACTGTAATGTATGCAAGTAGCAATTTGTTGTGTTGAAACCTGAATGAGGAAAAACTAAGCCCCTGTTTGAAAACCATTATTTGAAATTCATTTTTTTTAATTTTTTTTTTTTACATGCTCATATTCAACCACACACTTATACAATAAAATATTCTACACGAAAACCCAAAACCTTTTCGTATTTTTTAACCATACATTCTCCTAAAAATCACTATTCAAAAACAATGTTTTTCCCAAATAATGGTTTGTCAAATAGGGGCTAAATATTGTTTACTACAGAACTATATTCATTATCTTGATATCAGGTTGATGGATTAGTGGCTCTAATGGAAAGTGAGCACGTCGGACCGTTCAACTTGGGTAACCCTGGAGAGTTCACAATGTTAGAGCTTGCCGAGGTTTGTGATCTTTGGGCTCCCTCAATGATATTTTCTTATCTAATGATGGGTCTAGAATCTAGTTTTTGACATGATTAAGTTGCCTTTTTGGGTAATAACAGGTTGTCAAAGAAACCATTGATCCCAGTGCAACGATTGAATTCAAAGAAAACACTGCTGATGATCCTCATAAGAGGAAGCCAGATATTAGTAAAGCAAAAGATCTTCTAAACTGGGAGCCAAAGATTTCCTTGCGTGAGGGCCTGCCTTTGATGGTCAATGATTTTCGAAATCGCATCTTGAATGAAGATGAAGGGAAGGGAAACAAATGAAGAATGTGTACAAATTGATAGCATGTTGTGCATGTTACTTCTACAATAGTGCATTGATATCTTCATTTTATTTTTTTATTATTATTTTATTTTTTTTGCAAATTTTACCTATAAGTCACATCGTCACACTACCTCTATTATCTTTTTTCTTTTTTCCTCAAGAATTCTGCAATTTCGACCATGCTTTGATATGAATCCAATTTTGTACAATTCCTTATAATGGTTTTACGTGACTTGAATAACATGAATGCATATTTGTTACACAATATAAGACATGACTCGACATATATTTAACAAGATCTTAGATATTTCTTCATTTCACAATCCAGCACTATCCAATCCTTCCAACGGAACATATCAGAAGAATAAAGGGTGGTGAGTTAGAAATCTTGAAGTGTGATATGGCTGGAGGGGATATAAAGGGGAAAGGAAAGGAAAAAAAAGAGCAGAAAGTGAAATGCTCGAAGGCATCTGATTCCATGGGTTTTTGTGAGCCAGAATACTTTCTTGATTACATAGAAGCAAAGTGGCTTTGTGTCTCATTCTTTCAATTTTCCAGATGATTTTTTTGAAGCATATGTTCCAAAGGCATCTCAACACATTTCTCTAATATTCCCATTTTCTAGAAATGAAATTTAAGACTTGTTACGCTTAAAGATATTTTGGCAAAGAGTCGATATCTCTGTAACTGCAATTTTAACATTCAAACTCCTTTTTTTTACAGAGTCGAGGACGGACGAAACACAATTTAATTCCAAACCATAATCCTAAATATGTTTACTACTTAAAACAGTATCAAACAGGCTCTGCAGTACTCTGTCCTTGAGCATGCACGCTGAGGATAATTTATCCGTTCCAGTCCAGACATCAAACTCATCGACAAACAGTTCTTCTCTGAAATTTTCAATTAAAATTGGTCAGATCCACGCCCCATGCTGACAGCAGAAATTAAATTACTGTAAAAATTCCATGCCCAAATAGTTTTATATCTGAATTATGAGGAAACTGCCACTGAATTCTGCAGAGAATCCAGTCCACGAGTGTCACCATGGGACTCTTTAAAAAATGTTATTACTTTTCCATTTTAATTCATCCTAAGATTGGTGCACCCGCTCGCAGCAGAGGTGCTTCCTTGTTGCACTCACAGGAATGCCACTGTTTGAAGTCCGTCTAGGTGGAGCCAACTCACATTGTACATTTTGACCTTCGACCAGAGTAAGGGCGAAAAAACCCGCTTCGAACGGGTTGGCCTCCATCCCGGGGCATGGCCCCGCCCCAAGTTCACCTTGTGGAAAAAAAAATGATTAAAAATAATTTTATTTTTAGACAATTCACCCGTTAAAAACCCATTTTAAATTTGTATGTTATTAACTAATAATGACATAACTCGAAATTTTGAAAATGCAATATATTGACAATCAGTATAAAACTTTAACATCCAAGATATATGAATACATAGATACATTGTATATATATCATTTTGTTATATTAGAATAGAACGCCTCTCTCTCTCTCTCTCTCTCTCTCTGTGGCAAGAGCTCAAGCTTAACAGCAAACCCCAAGAATCTTAGCAAGAAAAGTCTCTTTGTTTCTGTCCCACAAGTTAACACATATTGCAGCAGATTCCCTAAACCTTTAATTCTAACTCTTACCATTACAGTACTTTTTAAAGATGAAAGGAATCCATATATTCTGTACATCTCAAGCTGCAACAGCCATATGTCCCAACATGAGTGAAGCCTCATCTTCTTCGTCTTCCTCCTCCTCCTCCGCTGCTCAACTCGGGAGCAGTCGAGCCATTGACCGATACAATCCCATCATCAGAGACGAGAGAAGAAATGGAAATCCACTTCCACCTCTCAGTTCTCAACCAAAACTCACTCCCAAACCTCGAAAACACCATTCAAAAAACCCAAAGAAACCTTTGAAGAGAAATGAGGAAGCCAAGAAAAAGAAAGTCCTCGAACTGGAGGATGAAAAATTAAAGAGAAAGGATGAAAGATTTGATAATAGTACTAATGTTGTAAGGAAGAGCTGGAGTTGTACCAAGCCAGGAGATTTTATAAGCCCTGCTGGTTCAACTAGATACTTGTTGAATGATAAAGCTTTCTTGGAGGTCTTATCGGATTTCGACCCGGTTTTGAAATTGGTTCATGATGAACCTTCCAAGTCTAAAACAGATGAATCATGTGATGGAAAACTAACCTCTCTGTCTGAATCTCCAGAACAGGTTTTCTTCACTCTCGATTCTGCACGTATTATGTTTAAAGTGATAATATGTTTATCTTTAGTATTTTTGTTATAATTTTGTCTTGCTATGTGTGTTGTTTCTTCAGTACCATCTTAAAAGATCGTCCTTTTAAGAGGATAGTCCCGATTTGTATACGTTGATTATTGTTTTTTCTATATTGAATTAACATCGGATTTTACCGTTTAACACTAATCATTGTCAAATAAATTCCAATGCCCTTAAGTCTAAAATTGATTTTAATTCAGGAAGTGATTTTGAATATTTGGTTGCAGGTTGTTGTTCTTAGAGTATCCCTGCACTGCAGAGGATGTGAGAGAAAAATGCGAAAACATATCTCTAGAATGGAAGGTATGCATATTCAGTGCTCTTCATTTTCTCTTCTTTTTGTATTTCTGTGAGTTGAATTAGATGAGAATCGATAGCAATAACAAAGAAAAAGAACCTTCTAAAAGTCGATGGAGAGAATATAATAATAAAATACTAAATAACCCTTTAAAGGTCGATCCAGAAAACAAGTGGATAGTAAAATTAAGCTCTAGAAGTACAGTAGAACCCACAAAAAGATTGGCCTCGAAATTGTTAAGATTTGGACTTCCATCTTAAAATGTCAACCTTGTTAAAAGGAGTAGCCCAAAACCTTTTAAGTTGGTCTATGTTTTCATTTTATTCGATATGAGATTATATCCCTTTAGAGAAATCACCTTGTATCGTAAGAATATCAAGTGGAATACCCAATATACTCGTGAAGGTAGATCAAGTCGAGAGGATAAGTGTACTAGTTTATGTCACGTTTTTGTCTATTGTTCGTTCTTCCTTAACTAGGTGCTTAATATGGTAAGCAGGGGTGAAATCTTTCAACATAGATTTTGCAGCAAAGAAAGTGACAGTGATTGGGGATGTGACTCCATTAGAGGTTCTTTCAAGCATATCGAAGGTAAAGAATGCCCAATTATGGCCTCCAACGCTATCATCTTCACTTTCACCACAAAATTTCACTACCCCAGAATTCAACTACAAAGGAGCTGCTGGTGCTTGAATTAATTATCACTAGATGAAATATTCATCTTCTTAATGGTGTAAATTGAGGCTTGGCTTGATGATGGTTCTCGTTTATGAATTTGGTAATTTATGCCTTTAGTTCTGTACTTTTTTTTTATTATAAAACTAATTAATAATATCTCGGTGCGAATTGAAATCAAAATTTTATTTTGGAATGTATGTGTTTTCAAATGATTCTGGCTATTATTTCTAGTATAGAAGGATACAACTTCCGGGAGTTTATTATTATTATTTTGGGAATTTTTTAGTTATTTTTTGAAATAATAATAATAATAATAATAAATCTTTCTAACTCGCGCACAAGCCACAAAGTGAATTTAAGCTTTACTTCTCATATGTTTTGTCATTCCATTCAAAAGTTATTTTGAGAAGTTTAAAGTATGAATTATGATATTCAATGATGAAAGTAAAAAAAATGTTGCCATAGGGTCGAAAATTTGATCAAAATCGTGATACTCTCGACCAAAATTGAGATTCACAATCGTGATCATTTAGATGGAGTAAATAACTATGAGGAGAAAGTGGAAAGAATTATGTTTACACATCTATTATTTTTTTAGTTTTTGTCATTGCATTAAAGGCAATTTATAATTTCGTTTAGTGCTTTTTGTGCAAATTTTCCTTAAGCGAACATATCAACAGAACCCAAAATAGTATTTTAATGAATAATTAAAATTAAAAGTAGAAAAATATCCGACCTGCCGGATTCGAACCAGCGACCTAAGGATTACAGCAACGACTACAGTCCTCCGCTCTGCCAACTGAGCTAAGGTCGGTTTGAATGCTGAAGTGTGGAGAAATACTTGTAATGTCTTGTGTTTTTACAAACAATTAATAAAATAATTAATCAAGTACTTTATAATCTTATGTTCGAGTCTGAGATTATGGATTAAATAGTTTATAATTCAAGTATAATATGTCCTAAACAAATTACATAATCTCATAATATTCAATGAGATTAATTCAATGTATACATCAATTCATCGTAATTGCTAAATGGGAAAAAAAAAAATATTTGATATCACGAAATTAACTTCTTATATAAAGGACCTCAATCGTATTATTGACTGTTAAACATAAAAGAGATGAGTAACTCAAAATAACCTTAAGATATCATTTTTTGGGTCGTGATTGTGGAGGATGGATTTACGCAATTGATAGCAAGAAAGGATTTATTTACGCTAGTTATTGCCATCCGGAGTGAAAAATATTTTACGTGGTGCCAAAGCATCGCCTTGTATCTCCCCCTTGCCCAAGTACACGAATTAGTAAGAATCAGTAAGATGATATGTGGATTATCGATTAATCAAATAATTAATGAAAGCTTAAATAAGTTTTTTTACTATCTTTCCTTTGTTTCTTTGAGCAGATAACATTTTTTTTCCCTGTAGACTAAAGTAATTTAGAGAGGATCTGTTTGAATTGTTTTAAAGGTCCGTAAAATTTTAAGAGAGAACAGAATATGGAAGAGATCAAACATGGTCTTAGCTTATAATATTTTTAATTGTAGAGATCGAGTTTTCAGGGCTGTCACTTCTATTTATTTTCAATCATACATTATCTCGATAAAATAAATTTACGCGCGAACCCATAATTTTATGTTCAAAAAGCTGGCTGCAAATTCAACCAAACTTTATAAAAATGCTCACAAGTTTATGTATGATCTAATGGAAAACAAGTGTGCCACTTCATTGACAGAGCTAAATAAGGCAAAGACAATAATTAGAATCCTAAGTTCGGAAATAAATTTCGAATTTTGTTATTCCTTTTAGTTCTAAACAGACCTGTTCATCTGTCCATATAACCAAGACTAACAGTGCCTTCTAAACTTACAAAGTTTGAACCTCTGTTATCATTTCATCTATCAACAATTTCTCAATTTCGGCACCTATCACATCGATTTCTCCTTTGAATCCAAACCATTGCATATCCCAGTCAAGTATTCTCTCCGGTGTTTTACCTACGGCTTGAAAGTCTTGACGGCAAATCAACTTCTGAAGACTATCTCTGATCACTTGCTTTGGCCCCTTCAAATCAACACCCGCTAGTTTTGGCATATCCCATGGGAACGAGTCTACGAGCAGCTGATAAACTTCTACAATTGTTGAATTTATTCTGTCAAACAGCAACCTCCTTTCAGACCTTGACTCCATTTGCTCGTTGCTATATTTCTTCTCGAGGTTATCGAACAACTCAGGATGCAAAGAGCATTCCGGGGAGTGCCATGTTGTTCTAAAGAAATCAAGGTCAGATTCTTCAAAACCCGAGTTGATCAGCACATCAAGAACATATGAAGCTTCCCAGACTTCGGCTCCTATCTCTTGGTTTTGTTCTGAATCCATCAACGAATGTTGTGCACTGTCTTCCTCGCTTGAAATAAGTGCAGGTACCTCAGTATATGATCCTGATTCCATCTTGAGGAGCTGCAGCTGCATTCGCAATTCTACAAAAAAAGGTTCATAAAATTTTACAATTGTAGTAGAAACTAAAAGAGGAAAAAAAATGTTAATATGAGAACGAAAGAGAAAGCGTGTACTGCAAGAATGAGCATGGATGACTGAAGTACATGACTCTAGTAAAGCAAAATGTGTCTGTAGAAAATCCTACAATCACAAAGACGCAAAGATGAAAGAACCTGTACACATTCAGACAGATGAAGAACAGTTTTGTGATCTGTATACAGCAGTGGATCAAACACCACTATATGCCATTCACAAACTGACTAAAAATCGTGGTTTATATTGAAGGCTTTATCAAACGATGTGTACAATTCAAAATGGTGGGGTTGAAATAACAGAAAGGAAGAACCAGTCTGTAAACAATGGTTAAATAGACAATATACTGCTACCGAATGTTTGAACTATATCTCAGGGATTATTTTTATTGGCACCATTTAAACTTAGGTTATGCTCCTTGCTGAAGGTCAAAAGATTATAAAAGGTCATTCCTTTCCCCGCATGGAAAAATTTTAATCACCTTCAAATAAATTTTCTTGTAATTCACTCAAGCCGAATGACGATGCTCTCTATAGCTTAAAAAAAAAAAAAAAAAAAATATATATATATATATATATAT